TATTTGATGGCATTCTATACAGTTCCACTCCTTTTTTAATAACCTGGCATCCATTAATGTATTAATCAAATCATTGTTGCTAAGTCTTACAAGTGCATTTTCAAGATTATCTAGAGACATGATAGGGGTCAGAAAAAATATTAAATAAAAGTTTTTAGTGGGAAAATAAAAATGTTGAGGGAAAAGCATGTTATAAATAAAAAGTTTCAAAGCTATTATGACATTGCAATCAGACAATTTTTTAGTATTATATTTCTCTCAAACACAAAAATAGTGTACGTTAATTAATTTTCATTTTTGTAGCATTTTATGCCATTGATGAATGATATTGCTCAGATGAGTAAACATCAAGTTATTCTTCTGCTTTTTAGATATAAAGTAGTTCACAATCAGCAAAAGTGTAGATATTGGCATCTAAATATGAATTTTAAGACCGGCTTGTAACATATCGATGAATACGATTGGGGGAGTATTAATTGTAAGTGCGCCAACTACCTGAATATTCATCTCAATTAAAAAAGACTCGTCATTTTTTAAAGTTAAGAATTTAAAAAAAAAGTTATTCTAAAAGCGTTCTATTATATTTCTAAAGGTATAAAATTTAATGCTATACAAAATCTAGCTGGTATAAAATGCTGTTCTCTAACAACTCCAAAAAAATAATGGCTATAAAAATCAGTAACAATTTTGTAGATAATATTATATAATTGGGCGGGCCGGAAATAATCGTCTAAATCGGCGAAACAAAACCAAATTATAACGTTAAAAAACATCGTGGTCGGAAGATACAACATTGTTTGGCGTTTGTCGCCGTAGACACATTGTTGGTCCGGTCCTGGGCTATGTAACTATAGTAAATAATTATTCGGCTACAACTCTCGTGTCAACTATTGGCGAAATTATAGTTCCTGGAAGTATTATTTATTCTGATAAATGGAAATCTTTTAGTTCATTGGCTGCCTCCTAGCTCTACACTCATTATACTGTATGCCATAAGTGTTGCTTTGTTGATCCTTAAAATCGAGTTTACACTTTAAATGTCGAGCCGTACAATAATAAGATCAAACTTGAGGTAAAAAAGTAAAAGGAACAACATTAGACTATAGAAAAGTATAATTGGGTGCGTTTATGTTTTGTGAACCAATAGAGGGTGACAAATTTAGAGCTTTTAATAAACATTTTAAGTACTTTCTTTTGTAAATTTTAAAGTTTTTTTTCGAAAGCAAAATAGCGTAATGACCCCGATCCAAAATGTTTAATTTAATGAATGTCGCGAGCTTATCTCGTGACGCTTGTCGATTCGTTGGAAATGGTTCTAGCAAAGCTGAACACGCTGTTTTAGAAATTTGAATGAAATATAATTATTTACAAAAAGCTCTGAAAAATTTATTTCTTTTTTACAAACTAGAAGATCCTGTAGACCAGATCAATTTTTAATTTATAATAGAAAGAGGAATTTAGCAAAAAATACTAAATTTTTTTTTATGTTTATATGACATTGCATTTTATGATAAATAATAAAAAAAAAAAGAGTTTGATTACGACATCTAATTAATCTAATTTATGTTATGCTAAAAAAATAATATAACTATACACCTATTTAAAAAATAATCTGAACAATTAACAATATGCTATAAAAATTTTTTAATAGAGAGGTTTTTAGTAAAGATTTTAAGTAATATACAATTAGCAATATGATTTAATTTATTTTCTTGATCAATTTTTAAAACTTAAATTCATATTACAATAACAAAATTATCATCTACTTTTACATTTAATCGATTATTGAAGAGAATTTATATTTTTTTTTTATTTTTTGGTGCCTAAGGATGGGGAAATGCACACGCAGACCATCCACAAACCCATCAGATCGATTTGTTTCGGGTACTGTGGGACTCGAACCCACCAAAACCCCACCCCCTTAGACTATGTCGCATCAAGCACCGCCGTACCCATTGGGCTTTGGCTCCAGGAGAATTTTTGGTCATCGGATACGACCCATTGGATCATACCCTCCTTCAGAGGAATCCTCTGTACAAATCTAGCAACGGATAGGACAAAAGAGTCCGCACCCGTCTGGTCGATAAGACAGAGTTTCCGAACCCCGTGTACCTGACCACGGGGACAACACTTCCAGCCTCCTCTCCCAGGAGTAAATAAGAAAGTTTTCATTTAAAAGATTCCCCGAAGGGTAACGGACTCTTCGATCCGGCAATGGGTTTACTCACCCCAAGGATATCGCTGATCCTACTTACCATGCCAGCAGCCAGAAGGTAGTGGTAAGATTATTAGGTACAGGAAATATAACAATTAAATA